CACACCTGGGAACGCCCTGGGGCCCTGGTCGCCTGCCCCCCCCACACCTGGGAACACCCAGGGACCCTGGTCGCCTGCCCCACACACACCTGGGAACGCCCTGGGGCCCTGGTCGCCTGCCCCCCCCACACCTGGGAACGCCCTGGGGCCCTGGTTGTCCGGAGGCCCTGGCCCCGCCTGCCTGAGAACTCCCTCCCGCCTTGGTGGCCCGGCCCCGCCCCCCACACCTAGGAACTCCTTGTGGCCTGGTCGCCCACCCCAGTCCCCCCTCAGCCCGACCCCTGCACCTGGGTCCTGGTAGCCCATCCCCCGCACCTGTGAACTCCTTGCGGCATTGGTCGCCCACCCCGGTCTCCAGGCTCTCCAGCTGAACCAGCACCTTCTGGTAGTCCCGCAGGGCCTGCTTGCTCTTGTGCCTGGAGTGCAGGCGGGGTCAGCTCCCAGGCCAGCAGGCCCACCCAGTCCAACCCAAGCCCTGGGCCGCCCCTTCCCCACTGGAGAGGGGGCAGGAGTGGGGTGGGCATGCCTCACCTGTACATGAGGGTCAGCAAGAGCACAGCCGTGGTCAGCAGGGCAGCGCCCAGGCCCACGCCCACCTGGGCCTCCACGGGGAAGGCGGCCAGCGTGGGTTCGGCCTCATACTGCACGGGCCCCAGCGCCAGCCGCAGGTTGCCCATGTGAACCTGCGAGTGGTGAGCAGGCTTGAGCCATGGCCGCCGCGCCCACACTGCCCCGCTGCCGCCCTGCCGCCCAGTCTCACCACGAACTGCGGCAGGCTGCCGGAGCTGTTGCCAGGCTGCGGGGGCCGGGCCGGTGGCTCGCAGTACAGGTGGGTCAGGGTTAGCGTCTTCACCAGGCACTCGCTGCCCCCGATGAGCACACGCACCTCCTCCTTGCTGATGCCCAGGCTGAGGCCTTCACCCTGGGGAGTAAGGAGTGAATCCAAGCTCTGTCTCACCCTAGGGGACCACTGCCTACCAAGGCCCAAGGGCACCCTCACCTCCACGTCCAGCACATTGCCTGGTTTGAGGCGATACGGGCGGCTGAGGGGTGCCAGGCGCGGATTGGGCTGGTAGAGAAAAGGCTGGCCCCCACTGGCGCTGGTGAAGTCCACATGCACATTATCCAGAGAGAAAAAGACCCGGTGCGGCCAGGTGCCGTCGGGCACAGCGGGGCTCTGGCACAAGAGGAGGCTTGACGAGTTGACAGAGCAGACCGTGGAGCACTGCAAGCGGCCAGGCAGGCACAGGGCTCAGCTGGGGAGCTTCCACAAACCCCCTTCCTCTGGCAGTGGGCACTCACCTGTAGCAACCCCGCCCCAAGCTGGACACAAGGCTGGGGGTCTGCAGCAGGGACCCCACAGCTCCGCTGAGATTCCAGGTCCTGAGGCTGGGCCAGACTGAGTTCAGGCCAGGCCAAGACACTCTCTGCCTGGTTCTCGGGTGCCAGCCACACAGAGAGCCGGGGCCGCTGTGCCACGTCCAGACCTGAGCCCCTAACACGGATCAGCCGGCCACCCCTGTGCAAAGACAGCAGTCAGAGGGGAGGCCAGGCCATCCTCTGCCCCCCCCCCCCACTTCAGGCAGCTGGGCCTCACCCCCGGAAGCTGACGCTGGGCTCCGCTGCCAAGAGCTGGGGGTTGGCAGTGTAGAGGAAAGCCTTCGACAGCAGCGTGCGCTGGGCCTGGCCAAAGACCACTTTCACAGCCACTTTCCCTGGGGCTGCTTGGGGCATGGTGCGGCACGTGATGGTCTCGGGGCACACGGGCTCCTGGCTGCGGTGTGGGGAGACCAGTGGCCTCTCAGGCTAAGGACCCACCATCTTCCTCCATGACTCAAATTGGAAGGGTGCCTTCAGGAGCCCCAAGCCCACCGCCCCGCTGAGGCCCACAGGAAGTGTACTCACATAGGGCAGGGCTGGTCCCCCACAAAGGCGCTGATGTTGCCCCCTGTCTGAAGGTGCTGCCCATAAATGGTAAGCCAGGTACCTCCTGCCTGGGGACCCCACCGGGGGCTCAGGTTCAGCAGGGCAGGGTCCTGGAAAACAGAGTTGGCTTGGGGGGGCCTACAGCCTGAGCTGGCTCCCCTCACCTCTCTGGCCCTCTTCTAAGCACTCTCCCCTCTGTCCCGGGCGCTGGGGCACCACCAGGACTCCGAGGTGTCTCCCTGCCACGGCCCTTGGACACCACCAAGCAGAAGCAGACCCCATCTGTGCCTCGGCCCTCTGTGCCTGGATCACTGACCTGGTAAGTGAAGGGCTGGCTCGAGACGCCTGGTGGCCGGCCCTTAATGACCACTTGAGCTGGCCCTGAGGTGCCACCAGGGGCAGGGGATGTCACACACACGATCCTGAGGAGGAAAGGACCAGAATGCTGCTCTTGCCACCCGGGGACCTGGTCTGCAGCCCTGGTTCTGAGCTGGCCATCCCTGCCCGGGCTGGCTCCCCCCTCTGCTGGCGGGCTCTGTGTTCTCCCCACTGGACCGAGGCCCCTCCTGCTCCCGAGTGGCCAGGATCTTCCTGCTCCTGTCCACCCTGGCACCTCACCGGACACTGATCCGGTAGAGAGCTGGGTCCGGGCTGCAGGGTCTACCAGCCACGCTCACAGCATTCTGCACATCAGCAAAGTCCCGGCCCAGGTTCGAGCCCAGGATGGTGAGTGGCAGGCCTCCCTCTGGGGGGCCAGATTGGGGCTCGATCTGTAACCAGGAGCAACAAGGGACCAGGCTGAGGCTAAACTAGAGCTCAGAGACCCTAGCAGGGGCAGGCAGGGTTGGACAGTGGGGGCATGGCAGAGAACACCCCGCATGAGGCACTCACCGAGAAAATGGTGGGTCTAGGGCAGAGCTGCTGGGCGGCCCCAGGCGGACACAGGGGTCCATAGCGACAGGAGGGCCGCTTATGGCTGCACCACAGACAGCCCAGGCTCCCATTGGCTGCCTGGCAGTGGCTGCAGTCAGGGTGGCCCACGGTGCAGTCATACAGGGTCACTAGGGCAGGCCAGGTAGTGCTGAAGCTCCTCTCCTCGGCCGTGGGCCTGGCCTGCCCTGCCCAGCCTCCCCACCCGCCCCCAGCTCACCATGCAGAGGCTCTGCATTGTCCAGGCGGTGAGCCTCGCCTCTTGTGACGTAGATGGGTACCCGGAGCTCCCGCTGGGAGGTCAAAGGGTGAAACTGTGGGAGAAGGTCTGTGTCAGGCCCTGGGCTCTCTCAGGATCCACGAGAATGGGCAGGAGCTTGAGGGCGGGGGTCTGTCCCTGCTGTGTGCACAAGGCCCGGCACAGAACAGGCATTCCCGGGGCAGCTGCCCACCTGCTGGGCCTGGCAATGGATGAGGCCCCTGTCCCCACTGGTCTCCTCCAGGGAGGCAGGCAGCCTCTTAATCGCTCCCGACAGCTCCAGCCAGCAGTGATAGGAGGCAGGCAGGCCCTAGGGCAGGACATGGTCAGGGCCCTACACACTGCGCTCAGGCAGCCCTTGCTTCCTTGGCCCCTACTCACTCGGAAATGCTGAAGGTTCCTCACACGCAGCGATACACGGCTCTCCCAGCCCACAGGCACCAGGACAGGGCTGGCCAGGCCCTCAATTTGGGGGCAAGCTTCTGGGCCTTGCCCCTGGACATCCCCCTGGGCAAATGAAAGCCAGTTGTCTTTCAGAACTTGAGGGCGCCTGGGGCCCACAGTGGGGAAGCGAACCATGCCCGGCACCCGCACCTCCTGGGCACTGTAGACTGTCCTTTCGCCCTCGGGGCAGTGTTCCCCAGCCATGCACTGGCTGCTCTCGGGGCACCAGTGGCACCGCCAGACGCTGCCCACACAAGCACGGCACCTGGAGGACAGGAAATGCCTCAGCTGGCTCGTTGTGGCCCTCAGCTTCCACCCAGCAGGACCTGGCCCAGAACTCACGGCGCCGCCACGTCAGAGGCCTGGACGGCACCACAGTCATAGAAGGAGAAGTTGGCAGCAGCCATGACCACATCCTCAAACATCAAGGCCAGGAGCAGGCTGACATAGTCTGCGAGGGGACAGCAGGCACACAGTAGGTTAGGGGGCCTCCTGCCTCCTCCAGCTCCCACCTGGGTCCTCTGTCTTGCCCCCAGGCCCCTCACCTGTGCCTGGAGGGTTAGGTGGCAGCTGGTCATGGGGAGGGGTGACACAGGTCACCTGGTGCCCTTCCACATGAGCCAAGCTGTCATAATCTCCGAAGGCACAATGGAAGTACTCGTCCAGGGCTAGAGCAGGCAGCCAGGGGACAGAGAGGGTGACCTGGGGACAAGTGGGAGAGAAACAGCAGTGGTGTCAGTTCTGCAGGTCACCTGGTCAGGAAGGAGGGACACAGGGCAGAGGCTTAGCCGTGTCACATCATACCTGGACCTGCTCCTGCCGGGGGTGCTGCGCCGGCCACAAGCCCTGGATGTGCAGGCAGGCGCCTCCCTCCTCGTAGCTCCACAACCACTGGTTTGGCTGAGCTGCCCGCTTGCACTGGCCCTTCCGGGTACACCTGGCAGGCAGGGGCCCACTGAGTCTCACGGACCTTGGGCTCTCACCACTCAGCCTGCTCAGGTGGCCGGAGCACAGAGCAGGGACGGGGCCGACTGCAGCCAGAGAGGAAGGGCACCAGGAACATAGCATTTCACGGTCAAGGTGCCAGTTCTGGCCTTGACTCTGGTGAGAGGGAAGAAGCTGCAGGGTGCTTGGAGGTCACATGGCTGTGATCAGGGGGTCCTCAGACTGGCTGGAGGGAACTCAGGAGGACCAAGGCAGTGGGACAGAAGGGAGCCTGGCTGTGGACCAGACTGTTAGCTGACAGGACAGGGCGGGAAGATGACCTAGCATCTCCCCATTGGCCAGCCCAGACCTGCCTTCCATGTGCAGCCTGGGATGGATGGCAGCTGAAGTTCTGGCCCATGCCACCAGGGCGGCGCTCACCTGCCCTGGAGGACGCACCAGCCGCAGAACGGGTCTCGGGCCTGCAGGCAGCTGACACAGTCTGGGAACTGGGGGCACACTGCCACGGGCACCCGGTCCACCTGTGTGGACAGTAGGGTGAGGAGGGGCTGTGGGCCTGGGTCATGTGCACCCAGCCCCTCCCCTTCTAGTGCCTCACCTGCTGGGCGGTGAGGACATACAGGTGACTGCCACTGCCATCCACCAGCAGGTCAGGACCGACAGCCGAGCCCGGGGGCCCCACTTGCTGGGAGTAGTACACCAGGCCTCGGGAGCCATTGAGAAAAACCTGGGGGTTGGGGCCGAGGCAGGGCGGGGCCAGGTCTCCAGGTCGGAGCTTGTGGGCAGGAACATTCTTGCTCGCTGCTAAAACTCTCCCGGGAACACCCACCTCCTTTCCCACCCGACCAGGGAGAGCGTTCCACACGCTGAGGGGACAGTCAGCCCCACCAGGCCTGGGACACCCTCCCCAGGGTGTCCCGGAGCCCCAGGCCAGGACTTCTGTTACCAGGGGCTGAAGACAGGCCAGAGGGACTCAGGCCAAGAGACAGAAGGTGCCTGGGGGCTGCCCTGACTGCCCAGTAGCCCAGCTAGGCCCTCACCTTATGTAGCTGGCCCTGAGTGTCCCCCAGGAAGGCCACTGTGTGTCCATCAGTCTGCAAGGCTGCCACTGCAGTGACAGGCCACTCCAGCAGCAGCAAAGGTTCAACCTCTAGGGGCCTGCGGCCGGCGATGGGGCTCGGGGTGTGCTCATCTCCACAGGGGTACGACTCCGGGGAGTCCTGGAGGCAGGGTGGGAGATTTCGAGGAGGCACGTACACATGACAGGGAGACAGGGCTGGGGAAGGTAGAGGCACACTTGCACACTGGCTGCCCCTCCAGCCTCACTGAGACCCACAGACCCACTCACAAGGGGCAGGGTGACACAGCGAGACGTCACGCCATACTCGACAGCGGCATCCTCCGAGCCCCCTGGTCCACGGCCCGCCGTCGTATAGCAGAGCCTCCGGGCCTCTTCCATGCTTCTGTCCAGCTGGGCCATGGGGAAGGTGCACAGGGCGGCCTTCGTGCCCCTGGCACCGCTGGCGAACACTCCCAGTAGAATGCCTGGTGTCAGGAAGGCAGCCTGCACAAGGCCCTGGCCACGGCAAGCCAGGGGCACCTCCACATACGAGTAGAGGTTGGCATCACGCAGACACACTCGAGCCACGTAGGAACGGTACTCGGCCTGAGCCCGGGCCCCACGGCGGCGGAATACAAAGTAGGCAGAGCGGCCGTCTGCGAAGGCACCCACATAGCTGTTGTTGTAGTCTGAGAAGTCGCCCACCACCAGGCGACCCAGGCCTTCACTGGAGAAGGGCTGGGGCCCAGCCAGTTGGCGCACAGTGAGTGGAGGGACGCCCCCAGACAGCTTGCCAGCCAGGCCCCTGGCCACCAGCAGGAGGTCCCTCCCTGGCGCAGGCACCACCAGGCCCACCGTGGTCACTCCGAGAGTGTTGGCAGCCACAAACTGCCCATCACCCGGGTCCTCGGCCTGGTACAGCAGCTCAGCCACGTCCCCCAGGCGCCGCTTCTCACACACGCCCTGCCGGACCTGCCCGCAGGCCACCAGCTCCTGGCTCCGGCCGCTCAGCAGCAGAAGCTGGTTGGCATTGTCAGTGAGCTGGGCTTGCGGGCACTCGGCTGGGTCCCGGAAGGGCACGCAGTCGGGGCTGTCGAGGACAGGGCCGGTGACAGCCACAGCCTCCAGCTGCAGCTCTGGGCTGAGCTGGAAGAGGCGGTTCACAGCGCCCACATATAGTGTGCCCGGTGCTAGTGCCAGATGGTTGAAGGTGGTATTGGGTGCGGAGAATCGCTGGCCCAGGGCCAGGGGTAGGGGTGGCGGCGGCAGCAGCAGCAGCAGCAGCAGGTGGAGACAGAAGGGTGGCTGGGGGGCCATCATCAGGGCCTGGGGGAGAGCTGGCAGTGAGGTCAGAGGGGCAGGGCCAGGGCATAGGGTGGGGGAGAGGAGAAAAGGGGGCAGGACAGTGGAGAGAAGACAGGGAGAGAGGAGGTGAGAGGGACAGAGAGTAAAGAGGGGGGGATGTAGAGAGAGGGGAGCAGAGGGCTGGAAGGGACAGGGTGTCCTGGAAGAAGGGCCTTAGGGTCAGAGCATCAAGCAGAGGAGGGTGCTGGGGTGGCGGGGTGTGGACAGCACGTGGGAGGTAGAGAGTGGAATGACCTGGGGGGAGGGCACAGGCGCTCATGGAAGGGGACCCTGTAGAGAGGGAGAGCTGCGAGAAGAGGGCCGGTGGGGAGCAGAGAAGGCCAGCTCGTGGCAGAGCTGTGGGAAACAGGCTGTAATGTAAGACACTGGCCGGAAAGATGGCAGGGAGAGAGGGTGGTTGGTGGTCAGGGCCCACACGGACAGAGCAGGGACACATTCAGAAGCCCAGGACACGTGTTGCAGTGGGGCTCAAGAGAGGTACCAGAGACCTTGGAGGAAGAGGGGTGCAAAGAAGGAGGAAGAGACAGTAAGGGAAGGACAGGCACCCAGACCCTGAGGTTGTCCCTACCGGCCTCCTGGTGCCCACGGGACTGAGTCCACTGAGCCGCTGAGGGCGAAGGCCAAGGCTGGACTGGGCAGCTGACAGGTGGGGCACAGGCACTGGCCACAGGGCACCGGTGGAGCAGCTGGCGGGCCCTCCTTTTTTATCTGGTGGCGCAGACAGGAAGGCTGGGCAGAGTGCTTCCTCTCGCCTGGCCTATCTCCCCCAGTGTCTGTGCCCGGGGGTGCGAGGGACCATGGGGCTTGGGTCCCGCCCAGTGCCATTCTGCACTCCTACGCCCTCCCGGGGTCCCGGACACTTACAATCACAAAGCGCTGCGGCTGAAGGGTCTCCCGGGTGGCACAGGCCCACAGAAGGCACATCTCATCTGTTCAGTTGCCCCAGGGCAGTGGCACTGGGCATAAGCTGACTGTGGGGGACATTGTCCTGAGTGGGAAGGAGATACAGAGGCTTGGCCCCATTCCCGCCAGGCCTGGGGGAGGAGGACGGCTGGGCGCCGAAGGCCGGGCTGGCCACAGCTGGCAGCTTTGTCAATAGTGGTCACGGCCAAGGCAGCCCTGCCCCCACCCCAACAATATCCCCTCTGTCCCATTACCCCGTGCTGCCCACCCCCCACTCCAAGGAGACACCCGCCAGGATATGGGCACAAAGGGACCGGGGTGTCCTCCAGTCAGAAATGAGGCTGGTCCTCCCAGCACGCATTATAGGCCCCTCCCCCGGCCAACTGCAGGGGTCAGGGTGGGCCATGGCGCCCGTTCAGGAGGGCCAGAGGCGCCAAGCCCTGGAAATGCCAACTTGGTGCTTGTCTTCAATGGGCGCCTTTGTCCAGGCCAGGGGCAGGGGAATGCTGACCAAGGCAGCAGCCCAGTGGGAAGACATCTCCAGGCCCCCCACCCACCCTGGACAAGACTGGCCGAGTGGTACCAGGTACAGTGTGGTGGAAGCAGGCAGTACCAGACAAGAGAGGGGTCTGACACAGAGTCCCAAAGTATGGGGAAGGGGGCAGCGAGAGGCCACCAGGAACCTGGCCCTTAGCTTCAGGCCTGGCACAGGCCACCCCAAAGTACCCACCCCCAGGAAAGTGCTGAGTAAGACGGGAGAGGGTGTCCGTTCAAGGGCTAGGGTGCCCTGCTTGGGGTGCCCTCTTCCCCTGGTATGGAGCGACCACTGGCGTCAACACTGGGGCTTGCTGCTACCTGGCTGGGCCGGTTGGGCGGCTATGCGGGCGGGAAGCCTGGCAGGCCACCTCCCTACACTGCACCCTACTTGGGACTGGCACCAGATCCCCTTGCCCCGCTTGGAGGGGGGGCGGCAAAGGTTCCTGGTCTCCAGCCTCTAGCGCCAAGGCCACCCCCGTGGACACTGGCGCCATGTCCAGTGTGCCCAAGCCCCCCCACCCGGAGGTGCCGTCGCGGGGCTGCCGGCGGGCTTAGCCTGCTGGCCAATCCCGCACCTTGGCTTCCGTCTGGCCGCTGCGCCTGATGGCCTCCGGCTCCAAGAGGCTGGACCCCTTCCTATCTGGGCGGGAGGCCGGCGGCCGCCAGGTAAGGAGCAGCTGGCGGTCCCGGTGATCCCCGCAATGCCACCGCCCAGCCTGGGGCTCAGCGGCCGCGGCCCCTCCTCGCCGGCCCCTTTGCCCGACGGTTCCGGGCAGGGTGCTGCTGCCCTCTGTCGGCCCCGGCGAGAACTGCGCTGAGAGGCCTGCGGGGCAGCGGGCCGCACGGGAGCACCGGGTGGGAGTGCGGGAGGGCTCCCACGATGTCCCCCTGGTTGCCTATGAGCCCCTTGGGTCTCAGGTAAAGAGGCGTGCACTAGGGATAGTGTCACTTTTTGTGCCCACGGCCCATGGCCCCAGCACACAGCACTTGGACCACCGTCCCTGCCTCCTCTCTGGTTTCTCTCCCATGTGCGTCCATCAGGGCACTGAGCGGCCTCTCTGCCTGGTGAGATTCAAAGGCCAGACCAGCCATCATCTCCGTGCAGGTTTAAACTTTAATTCTTCTCTGCCCCTCTGTGAAAAATCTGCAACTAATTCTTCACCCACTCTGAAACTCTGTAAGAATTTGTGTCTGTCAAAAGGTGTGGTCTCAGCTCTGGAAACAAACTGGCAAACTTATATTCGGCCTCTTCCCAAATTGCTGCTGTGTGGCAGGAACAGGGCCGGGACCCACACTTTGCCCTGGGATGCCCAACTCTTTCCTTTTTTCTCTATTTAGCTTGACAGAAACTAGGTGGCACAAACGGGGACTGTCAAGAGCTGCAGGAAAGGGCAGCTGTAAGGGTGACACGGAGCAATAGAATGGGAGACGCATCCTGGAGAGTAAGCTCCCCTAATTCCCACAGCCTCACCCTGTCTGACCTTCACTCTACACCTACCCTAACAATGTGTATGCCCTTGGAGGCCTCAGGAAAGGCCACGGAAAAAACCAAGTCATAATGCCTCAGAACAGAGGAGGTCTGCCCTCCGGGGTTTCCAGAGGGAGTTTGGGTGACCTAGTGGGTGAGGCAGTCCATGGTACTGCCAAGAAAACAAACAGGTTCATCCTGGAGAGGGTTAAACCAGGCAGCTCCTTGGAGGCAAGGATTTCTGGGGCTTCATCTGACATACTTTGGACATGTTGTAAGGAGGGACAGGTCCTTGGAGAGGGACATCATGCTTGGGGGGGGGTGGAAGGACAGCGCAGGAGAGGAAGACCCTCTATGAGATGGATTGATTCAGTCACTGGGGTGATCGGGATGGGTGTGCCAGAGACAGTACGATTGGCACAGGATAGAGCAGGGTTTAGGGCTGTTGTACATAGGGTCGCTATGAGTTGCAAGCGACTTGACGGCACATAACAACCATAACAGCAGTGGGTAAGGAGTTGCACTGCCAAGCCGAAGGCACGTGGTTCAAACCCTCTCCTTCCATGTGATTTATAGCCTCTGAAAACCTGCTGGAGTGTCAGCTAGGAGTCAGTTCTGACTAGAAAGCATATAGCAACAACATGGGGCGTTTAAAACTGTAAGATTTTGCGGGAGCGCATGGTCACATTTTCGTCCCAGGGAATGAATGGCTGACAGATTCTAACTGCTGGCCTTTTGACTGGCTCTCAAGTGCAAAATCCACTGTGCCACCAGGGGGCTCAGGAAAAACTGATAGCTCCAGTTCCAAGACTCAGTTTTTCTCCTGCCTTTTTGCAGAAAATAAACCTGTCCTCAGGCGCCAAGCAGATTTGCTTATCTTGGAAGAATTTTTTCAAATGGCTTTTTTTTTTTAGCTGTTGCAAAAAGCTTTATTTGGTGCAACCACTGTGGAAGGCAGTATGGCGCTTTCTCAAAAAGTTGCAAAAAGAAATACCATTTGACCCAGCAATGCCACTACTGGGAATATACCCCAAAGAGACCATAACTGCCACCCAAGCAGATATATGCACACCCGTGTTTATCGGAGCTTTGTTCACAATAGCAAGGAGTTGGAAACAACCCAAGGACCCATCAACAAACGAATGGATAGAGAAGCTGTGGTATAGTCACACAATGGAATACTATGCTGCACTGAAAAACAAGGAACTCATGAAATACACAAAATGGGTGATCTTGGAGGACATTATGCTGAGTGAAATATCGCAGTTACAAAAGGGCAAATACTGCATAGTGCCACTGTTGTAAAGCGAAACTGACATCGGAATTGGGGGGAAGTAAGAGGGGATAAATAATGTATACTGCTTTGAAACAGATGAGGGAGTAGCCTTGACAGGTCTGTCCTCCAATTCACCAATCTGTGGACAATTTCTGTTTAGTTCTTATCACCTTGTGCCACTGTGGATCTGCCACCAGAAGCACATGCACTTCTTCAGACTTGGTCTGTACCGCCAGGAGGCAGCCCTGGATTGATTGTGGGAACCATCTCTGACTGGAGTCCTTGCTTCTCGCTGGGCACCTTCATGGCTTCTGCACCTGGAATGAGATGTTCCGCGCTCCACCCACAGTCGGAACAGTGCCTCCTCTGCCAAGTACATTGTGCTTGGGCATCTTGATGTTAGCAGAGTGTGCCCCGCCTGCACCCATCCCCTGAGCACAGTGCAAACAGCCACACTGAACTGCTCCTGTGTGGCTCCCCCTCTGCCTGCCTCCTACTGCAATGTTTGCAGTTTCTCTCTTTAGTCACTGCTTGAGTTACTTTTTTTTTTAGTTACTTTTTTATCTCGTCAGGGTCTTAGTGCCCTGGGTCTCACCTGGTCGTAGTACCTGTGGATGTGCTTGTACAGATCTTGCAGGGTCTCCAGGCAGTGGGGGGCAGAGACGGAGCTCTGGGGGCAGTGTGAGGGGAGAGTGAGGCTCCAGCCTGCGCCTCACCACGTCCCCCTCGCTCCTGCCCCGGCCCCAGAGCGAGAGCTCATCTTATCTGGAGACATTGTGT